GTTAATAAATGGATAAAGTCTAGTCTTATGTCTGTAGTGGTATTGATCAGTTCCGGGTGGGCTGAATGTGTTGTGAAATGGCGATCATTGCCAGAGATTAACCAAAAGAATCATGTCTGTTTAAATGGAAGAAGGTGCATGCTTAAGGCAGGCTGACAGTTCTTTTTGTGCACGCTTGGAGAGGAAGATAAACAATGGTGTCTCTACAAGGAATGAATACCTTGATAACATTAAACCCCTGGCTTTTGTGACATGACTTAACCATGAGGGTGTTATTTTTCCGGTAGTACTCTTTCTCCCCTGCTCGGATATGTTCTGGTTGGTGAACTCCTCTTGTTCAAATCCCTCTTTCTGATCTCCTGCCCTTGAGGGGGAGGGGCATCATGGCCACTGACCAAAGAATAGTGGACATTATTCCCTCCCAAGCTCACCTGAGTCACACTCATTGGTGAAGGAGGTTATTCTTGAGCAGTCTCAAGGTATTACTTCTGGAAAAGCAGGCTGTCACTACAGATCTTACAGCTTCCTCTGCTTGGTTTGGGAGAAAAAAAGAATTGAGCATTCGTTTCTTGTAGGATTATTTTCACTGGGCCAGGAGGGTTAATAGCTAAAATTTTGAAATAAAGTAATTTGTTGCTATAGAGAGTATATAGATATTCTACTTACATTAAACTGATAGTATATATTGTTGCATAGTTTTTTAAGTAAATGTTCCTAGTTGAATAAAGTATTCTATTGAAGATAATTGAACTAATCTTAAAGACTTTAATCCTTATTTATACATGAAGATTATTAAAACTTAAAATGTCTGCTTTTTAAGAGCTTTTGTTGTGAATCAAATGCACTCTAAAAAAGGGTTATTATGTTTCTTTTCCTATTTGATTTTTCGGTGTAATTTGTAATCTGGCATGAGGACGGCAATTTTTATGAAAATTAAAATTATTTTTCAAGTTTTCAGTTTTTTGTTTCTGGTTATTTGAATATTTTCAATCAACTGGAGATTAGTAGTAAAGAACAAATTTATTTCAGGTGTTTAGGATGGATGTTTACTGTTTTCTTTAGTATTTTGTGCATTTTTATTTTTCAGTTTCCATTCCATGGTATGCACACTGGAGACTGATTATACAGACTATTCCTGTAGGGTATGGCCAAGTGTGTAATTTCCTCCTCTCATTCCAGGGGAAACATTTTTGAGTTTTGCCTTCATCCAGAAATGTCTACAGATTCTCTTTGATTTTTTTGTTCATTCCTCCTCAGATTTTTTTTCAAACAGAAACCTACTTAGTTGTTTGTTTGTTTTTTAAGCATTGTGGTTAATTTGTACCTTTTCTCCACAATTTGTTAAAATATGAGGATGAGTTTAATACTTGCTCTAGTTCTTGGTTTTATCCTACCTAAAGTGATGAAACTATTGTGTTGCATTGAATACGTTGAGAATTCCTTTGGAGCCAGAACAGTCTGGTCCATATATTTGATGAAATAAGAAATGAAAATGAAGTAATATTTGCATTTTCTTTGGTTCAGCTAGGCAATACTGTGTGTATTTCTCTGAATAAGTGTGTGGTTGGAGGGGGAATTGGCAGTGCAGTGAATCTTCTGGGACTCTTCTGAACTTTGGCTAACAAATGATAGATATTAAATGCTTTGTTTTCTAAAAGCCAGAATCTCTTAAATGTAGGCTGTGATCAAATTCAAATATAATATATTGGAACATCAAGAGCGGAAGGGAAACAAAATATCCACCCCCTTCTGGGACCCTCCCATTCATTTTTAATTTTTACTTATTTATAAGAAGCCAATAGTCTTAAGCTTGGGTAACTTTTGCTCCCTACCCCTGCACCTCTACCCCAGGGGACATTTGGAGACATTTTTGGTTGTCCCAACTACAGAAGAGGAGGGGAGGGTGTGATACTGGCATCTAGTGGGTAGAGGACAGGGATGCTGTTGATCATCCTATAATACACTGCACAGCCTTCCACAACAAAGAATTATCTAGCTTAAAATGTCAGTAGTGTTGAGGTGGAGAAGCTCTACTTTAAACTTTTAATTTTTAAAAGCATTGGTATATTATAAAGGGCTCTGCTCCTCCTCCTCCTGTTACCTAATTTTATAAGTACATGGTATTGGTGATCTCCAGGTGAGAGAGTTTAAGAGTTTTCATTTTTTTTCACTATCTTTAAAAATTAGAATGATTAGAGTAACAGACTATAGGTATATACATTATTTCACCCTATTATACTTTACTAAAAATACTTTGCTGACTGTTAGGAATAAACTCTAATCATTGGTTATGGAGTGCTCATAAAGATTGCATATTCATGGATATGATGAATGATTGGTCAGTTTATCTGGTTTAATTATATTTGCTTTTGATCCAGTCGTTTTTTTGCCATAATAATTGTCTTTAAGGATATTTCCTTTTATTCTTACTGCCTGGGCTGAATAGTGGCATCAGGGTGTGTTTGTGTGTGTAGTGTGTATTTAACATGGTGCCTGAAAGTTTTGTTAAGTTTCATATGGAAGAAATATGTCCACTATTGCATGATTCCTGAATGGTTCAAGGTGTAAATTCTGTTCTTTTTAAAGGATATATATTTTTTTCTCTAGCTAACTTTAATTTCAAGAAACTTTTAAAGTGATTTCATAATTACATAATTTTCTTGCAGGTTTTTGGTTATCATTAGGCTCATTTAGGCTATACTAAGTAATATTCTATAATCTATTAATAGACTCTTGTCCTCTTTAAGGTTAAATTTTGACCATAATTAATAAGTGCTTACTGTTTTGAAGTCTGATTTTAAGGAAGTTAACTCAGCCAACCAGGTTAAG